TGTATGAGACTTAAGCTACCAGCCTGAAACAGACTGTCATTCACTATCAGCTGGAGATCTAATGCACAGCACGGTGACTACAGTTAACACAGTGTATGTGTACTTGCAGTCTGTTGAGTAGATCTTTCAGTGTTCTCACCACACACACAAAACAAGGTAAATATGGGAGATGATGGATGGTTAATTAGCCTGACTGGGGGCATCAGTCCACAACGACAGGTACATTAGAACATCACGTTTTACACTTTAAATACATGCGATGATTATTGTCACACATGCCTCAAAAAAGCTGGAAAAATTAAAATCCTCCATTCTCACTGCAGAAATTTGGAAAGACACAAGTCTCAGTGCCAACACCCAGTGATAAATTAATACTAGGCCAAGACTGTTTTTAGTCTGAGTTTGACTTCAGTCACACCTGAGCACTTCTTGATCACATTTGTAAAGGCTTTATATTACTGACTTAACCAGGACACCTACGCTTTACAGAGTTCTCAGGTACGTGTCTTAAGGAATATTGAGTGGAGCCGTTTCCTAATAAGGAGAACTGCCCTCTCACTGCTGACAAATAAAATGCATGATTTCTGAAGGACATGGCTCTTAGAAGGGACTGACCCTTTCCCACCGCGACCGTATGCTCCGTAACAGGAAAGGCGAGTGGAGGTTCTGCTGGACCCCGTCCACCGCCTTCCTCTTAAAGCACGTCCCCCCGTGACGTGAGGGGCGTGCACTTGATGCTGACACACTTACAGGTCATAGGAGAACTTCCTCTCCAGGTTGGACTGGTTCTTCTGAAACTGGAGGACCTCCTGCTGCAGCTTGCCGTAATTCTTCTGCAGGGCCTTCAACTGGTCTGAACCGAGAGCAGGACACGAAAGCACACAGTCACCAGCCCGGCCGTCATGACAACAGAAGACACATCGACACTCACCCCAGCCGGGGTTGGGGAGGGTACAGCTCAGTGGTAGGGCGCAGGCTTAGCGTGCACGAGGTCCTGGGTTCAGTCCCCAGCACCTCCATCAAAATAAACAAACAAACCTAATTACCTCCCCCCTCCAAAAAAATGTTTTAAAAAACCCACCACAGGAACACAATGGGCCATGGTACCCAGAGAATGAGAAGGGGAAAAGGGCCAAGAGTACGGCCCCTCCCCTGCAATCACTGCACCCAGGAAGCAGCCCGGAGCGTGAGCGGTCCTGCCGGAGCCCCCACCTCGATTCCTCTCACAACTGATCTAATTCTCCTTTTTTGACCTCCTACCTTTATGACACATCAGGAGGGTCTACCGCCTGTTCCTCTAAGACGTCGTAAACCCTGAACTGCCCCCCAAGCCCACACACGCCACACTGTGTCCTCAGCCCCCAGCAGACATACCCTGTGGTCTGACAAACTCTGATTTCAACACGCGGTCAGATACGCTGCCACCCCTGCCGAGCCCCCGCCCTCGGCCACCGGCTCCTCTCCTGTATTCTTCTCCTGTCACTCAGTCACAGCCCAGCTGTCCTCTGAGGCTCGTGTGCACTGATCCCCGACTCTCCAATTCGGGAAACAACAGCTCTCCCTAAGGAAATCCAGCTGCCCTGACGACTCAGCTCATAAACGCTCTGTAGCAAAAAGCAGCAGCTTGCGGACCAAGAACCAAGCTGCGGGCAGAAGGAAACGCTGCCACCGGAATGGGCAGAGGGCAGCAACGGGGGCCCGGAACACAGCCTGGACAGACACCCGACTTTCCCTGGGGTCTGTCCTCACAACCTAGACCTACAAAGCTCTCTGGGGGGAAATAAAATTAAAATGAAGGACTCAAAGAACTGCTGACACACACAGCAACACAGATCGATGTCAAAAGCATTCACACGAAATGCTCGAACAGACACAGCTGTAAGGGTGGACACTCGCTGGGGGCCGGAGGTGGGGGCTCCCTGGAGTGAGGGACATGAGCTGTGTCTTGCCGCTGGTGGTCGAGGTGACTGTGCGTGCGTCAAAACACACAAAAGTGTACCCTTTGTGTGTAAATTATACTCAACAAACCTAACTTTAAAAAGAAGATTCCATAATCACACCAAGCATGGGGCAAGGGAACGCTACCCAAGTAATAAAAAGGAATAAACCGACAGCCATGACAGCAAGGATGAGTTTCAAAACACACACTGAGAAAATGCAGCCACAGGAAAGGGGGGACCTGCCATCTGACTCCACGCATACAAAACTGTGAAAATGACAGCCTGATCCAGAGGGCCGGCCAGCAGACCAGAGGGAGCCCGGGGAGGGTTACCGAGGACACAGAGAAACTTCTCAGGGTGATGGATGTGTTCACTGTGTGATGGTTTCTTGAAGCGTGTGCTCATGTCACAACTTGTCAAACTGGGCACTTTAAACAGGTGTAGCTTACTGTGTGTCGATTATACCTGATTAAAGCGATTTTAAAATACTGAGTACAGGAAAGGCTTCAGGACATACTCCCCACTGGAGGACTGACCCACAAGCCAGCAGCTCTGAGAGGCCCCTGGCAGTCAAGTAACCCACCTAACTTTGTGAATTTCTGCGTTTCCCCTGTTAATATTCTTAGAAGCTGATGTGGAACTAGAATTCTGGACCAGCACTGCCAAACAGAACAATAATGCAAGCCACCTGGGTAATGTAAAATTTTCTAGCGACCACATTTGAAAAAAGCAAATGAGACCAGGTGGAATTAATTTGAATAATGATTTCATTTAACCCAACAGATATAAAACAGCACCATGACAACGTATGAATTAAAAAATTGTGAATGAGGTATTTTATATTCTTTTTTTCATACTAAGTCTTTGAAACCTGGTGTGTATTTTACAGTCATATAGCATCTCAATTCAGATGTTAAATCTGAACTGGGAATTCTTTTTTTGCTGTTAAATTTTAATCTTATTTTTTATTGAAGTGTAGTCGGTTTACAATGGTAGTTTCAGGTGTACAGCAAAGTGACTCAGTTATACACATGCATATTTTTTTTCGGATTCTTTTCCATTATACGCTATTACAAGAAAGTGAATATAGTTCCCTGTGCTACACAGTAGGTCCCTGTTGTTTGTCTATTTTATAGAGTAATGTGTGTCTGTTAATCCCAACCTCCTAACATATCCCTCCTCTGCCCTTTCCCATTTGGTAACCATAGTCTGCTTTCTATGTCTGTGACTCTATTTTTGGTTTGTAAATAAAATCTGTACTCTTTTTTAGATTCCACATACAAGTGATATATCTGTCTTTTTCCGCCTGACTTATTTCACTTAATATGACAATCTCTAGATCCACCCATGTTGGCATTTACTTCATTCTCTTTTATGACTGATACTCCATTCTATGTATAGACACCACTGAATTCTCTACGTAACAGCCTGCAGTGTATTCAGTAACATTTTTAAAAGGAAACGCTAAGGAAACGGGCAAAAAGAATTACTTCTAATTCTAATTACTCGTAGTATCGCCCCTCCCTAGATCCTAACAAGAGAACCGAGAAAAGAGCAGAGCACAGGTGGTTTGTCCTAACAGGCCTGACGTCTGGGTGAAGGTGGGAGTGGAACTCACCTTGCAAGGTTCTGATGAGCCGCTCTCCTGTGGTGATGTTATTCACTAAAACCGCCTGCAAGGAAGAGAAACACAAAATCAAACACCCGCGACCTAACAACTCAGAAGGGCCCTGATAAGATGTGCTTGTGGGAGAAAAGGATGGGGTTGCAGGGGTGGGCAGCCCCGTCCCCACCCGGGCTACCAGATGCTGCAGCCTGAAAAGCAGCAGCAGCTGCGGCCCAGCACCAGCCTGTCACCCAGGGAAGGGGCGGGCGGCCCCCTCCTGTCCAGCCCTGCGGGCAGAAGCAGCAACTCCAGCCTTTCTCTCGGGGTGCCGGGCTGCAGCCCCGTCTCGGTCAGGAGTCAGACTGAATTCCAGGCTGTCTGATGGGGAAAGAGAAGGGGCTTCAGTGAGCACTAAGCCTCCTGGCGGGTTAACTGCCGGCATTCTTCCTCCCACCCGAGTCTGCAAGCTCGGGGACAGAGGGGTCAGCCCCGCCACTTACATGGGTGGGAGAAGCAACACAGGACTCAGGATAACAGTGAAACACATAAAAGGTAAGGAGAGTGAGTGTAAGGTTAAGTGTAACCAGGGCCCGGAGGCACTGGGTCACCACTCTGGGCCAGGAGCCCCTCTGGGCCCCCCACATCCACTAGGTGGGCAGAATACGACCCCACCTCGGGGGGCAGGACACTGAGGCACAGACGGCTTTAGGACTCAAGGTCACGCGGCTTTCTCAACAGCACACAGGTCTGCCCAGAGCCGGAGCCTGTCCGCGCTGCGAGCTGGCCTCATGGGGACCTGAACCCCAGCGGGGCCGCAGCCTAGTGGACCGTGCCCCGTGCTGAGGCTAACAAGCACCCAACAAAGAGGGGCCGAGAAGATTCAATGCCAGAGCACACCGCACACGTAGGGGCTGCTCTGTGCGCACACAGAGGTGCGTACAGGCCATAACGTGAACGCTTCTTACTGAGTCACAATCAACAAAGTTTCCGCAAAACACACACACACTCAACCTGCTGGCTGTAACTCAGAGACACGCTCTGTCCCATTCCCGGGCAGAGGAGGACAAGGACAACCAGGTTGCCTCACCCGCCTGTGCCCCCGTTTCCTCCTGGGCCTCTCTGTCCAGCCCTCGCTCCTTCTCTGGCCTGGCTAGAGTTTTCCGGAGGAAGGTGTTTGTGAGTACAAGGGTGCGTACCTAGAAATGAAATCTGGCCAAAAGAATCTGGTGTTTATTTCAGGAGGTCTGAGCACGTGGAATGTTTCCTGGCACAACAGGAAATAAGTCTCAGCAATGCCGTCTGTATAATTACTCTCTCAGGGAGACCTCGTCAAGAGGAGTGTTCACAGGTACTCTACACGGGCCAGGCGGGGAAGCAGATTCACAGAGCTCGCAGCGCCTGCTACTCTCAGAAAAGGCTGACACAAGTTCAGTTAAAAAGGCGAAAGATCACCCTAAGACCCAGTGGTCCCTCTTTCAGGTATATATCCAAAAGAACAGAAAGCAGGACCTTGAAGAGATATCTGTGCCCATGTTCAAAGCAGCACTAGTCACAACAGTCAAGAGCTGAGGCAATCTAGCTGTCCCTCAGTGGATGAACAGAGAAAGAAAATGTGGCCTACACACATGATGGAATAGTATACAGCCTTGAAAAAGAAGGGCTGTCACATGCTACAGCATGGGTGAACCTTGAGGACATCATGCTAAGACAAGTCACATATGGGCAAGTCTAAAGCAGACAAAATCATAAAAACAGAAAAGCAGAAAGGTGGCTGCCAAGCGCTGGGGGAGGGGAACTAGTGTGTAACGAGCAAAGGGTCTCAGTGTTGCGAGGCCTAGACATTTGTTGCACAACAACATGAATATACTTAAAGCTACTGAACTGTTTGTACACTTAAACTTCCACCTTACAGGGGTATCAAAACCACCTTCCCTCTGAACATCAGTGCTGAAACAACACAGAAGGGAAGGAGTACTCACCTGGTTATCCTGAAAGTCACCAACTCCCGGGCAAATCATTCCTACAGCAATTATAGCAATTTGACTTGTCCCTTCTTCATTCATTCCCCATAGCCTCACCCCCAAAATCCATGAGAGTCTGAACTGCCTGCTGGCTCAGGAATTGCTGCAATCTGAAACACCTGAAGATATTTCTGCCACCCATGTGACTTTATTCTTCCAAAGAAACTATCTTTGCCCACCTACTTACTGATGCATGGAAAGATAGTCCCCACCTAAGTAAATGAGAAAAATCATAAAATGCCATCAAGGTCTTTATATATGCAGTTTTCTATTTATTGAAAATCCTGCTGAGTCATTTACAGGAAAACTATGAAAATGCTTCTAGCTTTTCTGGGGAGTTCACCATAAAAAAGCACCTGCATTAAACAAAATTATTTTTAAATGAATTACATATTATACTCTAAACAGCCCAGCTGATTTTGCTATTCATGCAGAGTGACTTCCTGGGGTGTGTGAACCGGGAACTCTCAGCAGCAGACAAGGAGGCAGTACGTGCCACCAGAATTTAACTGGACACTAAACTCAAAAGACCTCAGAATGACTCACCCACAAACAAATGTATTATAACCATTCTATTCCAGGGAACAAGTACATCTGATCAAACTATTATTTCTCCATTAGATTCCTAGAAAATTTCATGGTAAATTTTCAAAGAAATAAATCTACAAGAGATTATCCTGTTCTGAAAGCTAAATGAGATGTAAATGACAATTTTTTAAATGCTACCTTTTGAAAAGTTCACTGAACGTGTGATGCTGATCACATTATAAAAAAGAGAAGGTGACTTTTATTGCCATCTTTGTTTGGCTCATTAAAATAATCAACTTGTTTTGGAGAGGAGGGTCCACCTTAACTTAAGCCTTACTAAACATGACCCTCAAAGGATCTCACCCTTGTCAACGCCCCCAGCAATCAGGTGCCTTGATAATGTCTCTGTAATGACATTCCTGTTAGTGCCTCAGAGATGAATCTCCAAATGAAAAACTTAACCTCAGTGACCTGTGAATGACATTAAGAATAAAGGGAAGATCTGTCAGATTTCCGGTCAAGATGGCAGAATACTAGGGCCACGAGTTCACCTCTCCTCACGGCTACAACGAAACTACAACTGACTGCTAAACAACCATCGGGGGAAAAAAAGACTGGAACCCAGCAAAAAAATCTTCCTCAACTGGAAACATAAAGAGGAAACCACAGCAGGATGGTAGGAGGGGCGTGCTCGTGATATAATCTGGCCCCACACCCCCTCCCCACAGGAGTGAGAGTCCTGAGCCCCACGTCAGGCCCCCCAGCCCGGGGTTCCGGCATTGGGAGGAGGAGACCCCAGGACAACTGGTTTTGAAGGCCAGCGGGGCTTAGCTCCAGGAGCCCCACAGGACTGGGGGAAACAGAGATGTCATTCTCTTGGGAAGAGCACACAGAATCTCACGTGCACCAGGTCCAAGGGCAGAGGCAGTGATTTCATAGGAACCTGGGCCAGACCTGCCTGCTGGTTTTGGAGGATTTCCTGGGGAGGTAGGGGACAGCTGCAGCTCACCTAGGGACATAAAAGCTGGTGGCAGACAATCCGAGAGTATTCATCTACATGAGCTTTCTAGGAGGCTGACACCTTGATTGGATCATTAGCACCAAGACCTAGCCCCACCCAACAGCCTGTAGGCTTAAGGGCTGGGAAGCCGCAGGCCAAACAACATACTGGCTGGGAACACAGCCCCACCCATCAGCAGGCCTCCTGAGCCACAAACGTCCTACCCACCAGAGGCCCAGGACCAAGCTTCACCCAGCAGTGGGCAGGCACCAGCTCCTGCTGCCAGGGAACCTGCATAAGCCTACAGTCCAGCCTCATCCACCAGAGGGAAGATACCAGAAATAAGAAAACAATTCCAAATCCTGTGGAAGGAATCCACAAACACAGGCCAGACTCTACGCTGGGACTGGCTGGATCCTGGCCCTTGGGTGACAAGAGAGGAGTGTACTGCTGGGACACATGGGACGTCTCCCACAGAGGGCCACCTCTCCAAGGTCAAGAAACATAACTAACCTACCTAAAAACACAGACAGAAAGATAGACAATATGAGGCAGCAGAGGAATTATCTCCCAGGCCAAGGCACAAGATAAAATCCCAGTAGAAGACAAAAGTGATGAGGAGATAGGTAATTTAACTGAGAAAGAGTTTAATGATGGTGAAGATGTTCAAAGAACTCAAGAGGAGTATAGATGCACAGAATGAAGTTTTTAGCAGAATTGGAAAATCTAAAGAATACCCAAACAGAGTTAAAGAATAAAATCACTGAAATGAATACACTAGAAGGAACCAAGAACAGACTAAATGAGGCAGAAGAATGGATCAGCGAGCTAGAAGACAGATTAGTGGAAATCACTACTGCAGAATAGAAAAAAGAAAAGAATGAAAGAAATAGATGTTACTTTAACAGAACTCTGGGACAACATTAAGTCCACTGATATATGCATTATGGGATCCCAGAAAAAGAAGAGAGAAAGG